TTTTTAAAGGTCACTGTGGCTGTTGCTGCAGCCGCGATGGTCCCTCCTGCCTCCGCATCCCCGCGCTGCTGCCAGGCCGTGACAGGTCCCTCCGGAGCCGGCGGGAGCTCCATGAGCAGCTCCCCCTGCCCCGGTCACGGGTGGGACGGGCCCCCCCGGTGTCCTGTGGGTGCCCCGGGGGTGCCCCCCCGCCCTCCTCGCTGCTGACCCACACGTCTGGCCGGGTGTCCCCAAATCGGGGCAGGTTTAAACCCGCGGCTCCCTCGCGTGGAGGGAGCGCGGGGGCCGTTCCTGACAGAGAAGGTGGGCGCGGGTCCCCCAGCCCGTCCGAGGCGGAGCGGGGAGCGCCGCTGGGACCTTCCGCCCCCCGTCCCGAGCAGCGGGAACAGCAGGAGGAGCTGCGGCGATGGATGCGGAGCAGGGCGCCCTCGGGGCCCTTTGCCCCCCCTGCTCTCCCTTTCCTACCCGGCCGCTCCTTTGCATTACCTTGCCTTGCCCACCCCTCCCATGCCTTGCCTCGCCTCGCCTTTCCTATCCCTCCCGTGCCTTTCCTATTCCTCCCTTACCTTTTCCCCTTGCCCTGCCTACCCCTCCCTTGCCCCTTGTGCCGGTGGGAGCTCCCCGAGGGGTTCTGTGGGGCCCTTGGGGCCGGGCTCCCTGGATGGTGTTTTTATTTTTTATTTTTTTTTTTTTAATTCTATTACTAGATATGTGATGTTTATTTAAATAAAGGTTTTAGGGCTGGGGTTGAAATGCCATCTGTTGGGCCAGGGGGGACATAAAGGCTGGAATGGGCACCCTGGGACTGGAGCCAGACCCAAACCCACGTGGAGCTGCAATGGAAATACTGGGGCTGGAGCTGAAATAAATCCCGTGGGAAAGGGGATGGAGCTGTAGCTCGGGGGCGGCAGGAGCTGCCTGGGGGGCTCCAGCCCCCCCAGTGGTACCAGGGGGCTCAGGGCTGACCCTGGGGCTCTGAACCAGCACTAAGGCACCTTTGGGATGGGGACCCTGGGGCCCAGTGGCTGTTCCCAGCCCCTGGTGCTGGCTGGGGGGGCTGTGGGCAGGTGGGGTGTGAGACCTGGAGTGGGGGAAAGGTGTGTGTTGCAGGTCAGGTCTCATTTCCCCCAAAGCTGGGCCCCATTGGGACAGAGTGGCTGGAAAGCTGCCCTGTTGGAAAAGGCCCTGGAGGTGCTGGTTGACAGTGGCTGAACATGAGCCCAGGTGGGCCAGAAGGCCAAGGGCAACCTGGCTTGTGGCAGCAGGACCAGGGCAGTGACCGTCCCCCCGTGCTCAGCAACACAAAATATGAGGCCATATAGTGACTTCAGACACTGCCCAGTGGGCTGATTAACTGTCTGCAAACACTTGAGGAAGTGTGGGTGATAATCTGTGTTTTAACATCACAGTAAGGCAAACGCAGCTTCCTCTTCATAAACTGCCAAATATAAGCATATCCTGTAGTCTTCAACCTGGAAAAATACCAAAATTAAAATTAAATAATGTCCTTTTTAAAATACTGATAACACCAGGCACTAATTCTTACCTGGTTTAAATGAAGACAAATGATATCTCTATAGTTGAAGTTTAATGTTGATTCAATATTTCCCCCCAAAGTAATTTATATTGAGTACTTAACTTAAGGCTTAAATGTCTCCTCGTGATCCTTTTTAGTACATACCTTAAGTCTTTACTCATCATAATTATGAGGCGGTGGAACTAATTAAAAAGAGAGCAGTACTGCCACAATGGAGGTAATTTAGACTTTAGTTTAAAGCAGTAAAAATATGCTTAGAACTCCTTGATGTAATCTTGCATCACCAGCAGGAATCCTGTAAATTACCAAAGGAAAACAGCCCATTTGTGCTGGTGATTCAGTGGTTGAAGAGTTGCAAAGTTCTAATTCCTGCACTAATGATGCAGCTGAAGCTCTTTGGTGACCTGAGGGTGCTGGTTCTGGGAAACTTCAGAACTATCTCCAAGAAATTAGATGAAGACAGGAGCAGCATGTACTATTACTGATACTCGGAATTTTAGCTGTTCATTCAAAAATCATCTCAATTATTCGTGCTCCAGAGTGTGTGTGCTTCGAATTGTCAGGGAATTGATTTCCTCCACCCCCAGGCTTTCTGAGATGAGTTAGTAGTGGGTGACAGGAAAATTTAAATGTATTATCCGAGCATGTGTGAAGTCACTTGAGAAACTGAAACTATGGACACTTCTGCACCCTGTGTTATGAGAGAGGTGTGGAATTATTGGAGGATATTTGATAATTGCTGATAACTGAATCTGGGCTGCACAGTGTGCTCTTGTTTTTTCAATAGCTGGGAGGAAAGTGAGGGGACAGTGGAATCATCATGTAATATTTCACTTGATTTTTTTATGAAGGGTTTTCATAAGCTGAAAATTATTGATCAGTCACAACAGAAACCTCCTTCTCTGGTGTGAATAAAGACCTGCATCAGACAAATTACATGGAATTTTTTTTGAAGGAGATTCTGTCCTTTGCTTCAGGAGCAGCACAGAGAGAAACCTTGTGGGTTTATCCCCTGAAAGTCTTCCACATACAAAAAAATCTGGATAGGAGTCAAGTTATCTGTTTTGTTATCTTAGGTAAAACTGAGATGGACCTGCTGAGATCTGAATCTAATTCCAGCTATGGAATGTTTTCATGAGGTGTGATGAGCCTGTTTAATAGTCTTTTGATCTGCATTTTACAGATCTGAGAACCCAGGTAGCAGCCCCAAACTGCTCTGAGGAAGCCATCTGAGTTGTTTTTTCTCTCTTTTTTGAGGAAAGTGTCAGAAGGCCTGAAAGATCCCCCTTATATTGTGAAGAGATTTAGCTAATTATTGCCCTAGGAAGGTAAAATTCAAGCCAAGGAGAAATATTATGCCCCTTCTTCAGGATTTCATTATTCAGGCCAGAAGAAGAGTCTTGGTCATCAGCCCAGCATCAAAAAATTACACCTGCCACTGCATTTCTCCTTCAAGCACAAATCAAGCGAAACCAAATCCAGATCTCTCACTCTTCAGGGCCAACACCAGACAATTATGAGAGCTGTAGAATTACAAGATGGCTCATGCCTTTCTATGTGGAGTATAAGGAGTATAAGCTTTCTTTATCCTTATCCTTACACTTTCCTTATCCTTATCCTTACACTTTTCTTATCCTTATCCTCTTGTGAACCAGTAGGAAGCTGCCCCTCTCTCTCCCAGGCAGCTCTGAACAGGGAGTGCAGCTGCACAGAAGAAATATGATTTAATGAGGGTCTAGGAACAGACTGCAGTGCTGAAACAAGCTGCCAAGGCAGGCAAGAATATCTACCACTGCCTACACACCACCAAAACCTTTCCTCTCCTCTCTGTTCTCCCATGCTTGTCCCTCCTCTGGTCCCTCCCTTTCCCTTTCCTACGTCTCTTCCCCTAAACATCCCATATGACGTTTCATACAGTCCCTGGGTTCTGCTCTGCACCATCCCCACGTTCTCCTCCCTCTCTCTGTCTCATATCTCATTGCCCTAAAGCTTTATGACATTTCCAGGAGAAAGTTGCCTTCAGTACATCACCTTGGTGGGCTTGGATGAGCAGGAAGAGGAGTGGGAGGAATTTCTGTGAGGTTGCTGCCTCTTGTCTGATCAGTTTTTGGAAGTGAAATGTGTGCTGAACTAAGGACAAGGAGACACGTTCAGCACAGTGTTACAAGTCACCACGAGCTTGTTCCTGGTAGGGGAGAGATCACTCCTGGGAAATAGGAAAAAAAAAGGCAGCATCACTTGGTCTGGGCAAAGCAGGGGTCAAGGTGAGATGTGTGACCCCTGAGACACGTCTGAACACAGGGAGCCGTGAGCCTCCCTTGCTCCTGCCGTGTTGGGATGGGTTGGGTTGGGCAAATAATGTCCCAAGGACACAGTGCTAAAATGGGGTCTTAGAAATCTGACTAACTCTGGACAGATGCAGAAGGAAAATCCTGTAGCCAAAAAAACAGCTGCCAACAGAAGAGACAGATGTTACTCTGGAGAGCTACAAAGCTGGATTATGGAGCTGGTGCCAGTGGATGTGGGCAAGGTTAAAATGCCTGTAGGAGAGGAGGGTGTCTCACAAAATCAGGGATGGGGTAGCCCCTGGAGTGCATGAATGAGGCCAAGGAAAGAAGCAATGCCTCGCTGGAAGAGAGGGAACAAGCGTGGAAAAGTCATTTTACACTTCCAAAACCTGCAAACTCTGTGGATGAATGTGCGTGGAAAGGATCAGGGCAGCTGAGGTGGCCTGGGAGGCTCAAGGACATGGGATGTATGCAGGACTACAAACCTGGCTCTGAAGAAGGAAAGATTAAGAGGCCATGACTGGACAAGCCACATAGAGCAATCCAGCTTGGAATATTTCATCAGGCACCTGTAGCTTGGAAGGACTTTGCCCCTAGCAGCCCATGAGGGGCTCTGGGGGGGAATTGAGGTGTACAATGAATGTCTCCAGAGCTTCTGTCCCTGAATGCTGAGTATTATCCAGGATTATCTGCTCAGGGTAGCTTGGAAAAAAGTCTCTAACTGGAGATGCAAAGCTCTTGGCCCCTGGTGAGAAGGGGAAGGTGACCAGCATGGACATTTGGGTGCCTTCAGCGCTGAGTGATGGAGTCTGGGCACAGGTGGAGGGGAATGGGCACACCTGGGCTTGCAAGGAGGGTAAAAAACGTGGGACAGGTGTGGGTGGAATGAGGGTGATCTGTGGGGTCAGGGAGGGGAATGGAAGAACCCTAAGAGCGGGTGGAGGGGAATGGGATGAACCCGAGGGCACAAGAGGTTGACTCGGGCCCCTCTGCCGCACTCAGGAACCTCCTTTCCAGCCCAAAAAGCCCCTTCTCTCCCCAGGGTCTCATTTTCTGCCCCGACACATCCGAAAGGCCCCGGACACCCCCGCGCCTTCCCCAGCTCGCCCGGGCGAACCCCCCGCGCCCCCCCGTCTCTCTCCAGCCCCCGCCCCGGTCCCGCCCCCGTCCCGCCTCTGCCGCCGCAGCCGCCGCGGGTCCGGGCCTGGGCAGGCGGCGGCGGGGCCATGCTGGGCAAGGACTACATGCTGGCCATCGTCCTGGTCAACTGCGACGGTCAGCGCGGGGCCGGGGGGGCACGGGCAGGGGCACAGCCCGCGGGGCCAGCGCCGCGCTCGGGGCCGCGGCCGCGCTGTGGGACCGCGTTGCGGGATCGATGCCGGGTTGCGGGGCCGGCGCTGAGTGCCGGGGCCGGGTTGCGGGTTTCGGGGCCGGGGCCGAGCGGGCCCCGAGGGTCGGAGCGGCGGCCGCGCCCGGCGCTGTCCGCGGTGCTGATCGGGGCCCGCCCGGCCCCGCCAAGGTCGCGGGAACCCCCCACCCATCCCCTGGGCACCTCCACCCCCGTGCCCCTCCACCCCCGGAGCACCGCGCCCTCCCACTCCCGGGACCCCCCATCCCCCGCGACCCCCCATCTCCCGGGACCCCCCATCCCCCGGGACCCCCTGGCCGGTCGGGACGCGCCGCCCCCGCGGGCCGGGCTGGCTCCGGCCGTGCTGCGCCACGGGATCGTGTCCGTGCCCGCGCGGGGCTGGGGGCGCGGGGGGAGGCGGCTGCAGCTCCCCGGGGCACCACCCTCGGCCCGCACCCCGGGGTCTGTGCCGGCCCTTTCCCGGGCTGGGCTGGCTGCCGCGGGCCCTGCCCGGACGCCCCACAGGATGCCCGGCCCGGCAGGCCCGGGATGCCCCTGCCCTCTGTGCCCCGCCGGGGTCCCGCCGTCCCCCGTGTGCCGGCCAGGCAGGTCCCCGCAGCGGGGTCTGCCACCGCCGCAGCCTGGCTGGCACCGTGCCACGTTCCCTCGCCATGCTCCTCTCCCGCGCCGTGGGCCCAGCCACCCACCCAGAGGCCACCGCAGGACCCTTTAGCTGCTGGGCAAAGCATCCCGCAGCTGGGGTGCCTTCCCTCCCCACTCTCTGCCTATCACACTCTGTCTGTCTCTGCACAGACAATCTCTGGAGCGACCAGAGCCTGGAGACAGACCCCGACCTCCCCCCAGGCTGGAGGAAAATCTGTGACTCTCTGGGCACCTACTACTGGCATGTGCCGACGGGCACGACGCAATGGCAGCACCCTGCACGCACCACCAGCCCAGGAGGGCACCCGGAGGGTGATGGAGAGGAGACACTACAGGGAAGGGTAGGGGATGTGGGTACAGGGGGTGGTGGCTGGTGTTGGATCCCACCCCTGGCAGAAGCCTGCTGAAGGCCCTCTGGGCCAGCCTCCCCTCGGAGCAGGCCTGTCTCTGTCATCCCAAAGTCCTGCTCAGCCCATTTCTGGCCAGGGCTGAGCCCCTTGAAAGGCTCCTGCAGGCTCCGTGTTGATTTTAGGCGCATCCTGGCCACACAGGATGCACACAGGCCCGTTGCTGTCCTGGGAGGGAGGGCTCCTACCTGGTGCTTCCTGACAGCCTGTCTTGTTGCCCTCCCTTTCCTCCTGTCTCCCAGGAATGCCAGGCCCCCGGAGCGAAGCACTCGGCAAAGGATAGGCCCATTCCCAGCCCCATGGCTTCGCTGACCAGGAGGTAGGGCTACCCTGGTGCTCTGCTGGCTTGTTTATGGGGCACTACTGATCCTTCGCCACCACTGGGTGCTTGGCCCCAGTGCCCTCCCAGAGCAGCCCCCCGTGCTGGAACCAGCAGCACCATCCCTATGGGATGCTTCCCAGCTGGTGGCATGGGGGTATGGTGGTGCCAGGGCATTCCTGGCGCTTCCCTGGGTGCCCCAGGGACCACGCAGAGGGAGCTGCCCCTCACTGCCCTGTCCCTCTGCAGGCCCTCGCTGTCCTGGCACGGAGAGGACACCCAGCACAGCGCAGAGCCCGGCTCCAAGGTACCGCATCCCGCCGGCTCCGCTGCCGCATCGTGGGCTGGGGCTGGCAGGGGAGGAGGCGAGTGGCAGCTGGCAGGGACGTGGATGGGTGGGAGCCAGAGCAGGGGTGACCCTGCTGGCACGGTGAGGGGCACGGGGGGGAGGTGGCCGTGCCAGCGGGCACCGGAGCCCCAACGTGTCTCTGCTCAGTGCTTTGCCGTGCGCTCACTGGGCTGGGTGGAGATCCCCGAGGAGGACCTGGCACCGGGCAAGAGCAGCATTGCTGTCAACAACTGCATCCAGCAGCTCTCCAACAGCAAGGGCCAGGGCTCTGCGGAGAACCGGGGTGAGGTGAGAGCCTGGGACGGGGCTGCCAGGCAGAGGCCCACTCCAGGGCTGCTGCTGCTGAGGCTGGATTGTGCTGGGAGGGAGCAGGGATCAGTGCCAGAGGGAGTTTACTCTCCACACAGGGTATCCATGTGATGGTTTCAGGTGTGGGGCAGGTAGGTCTCACAGGGCTGTTCCTTGGGGACAGTGCCAGGAGTGCCTGGTGGGTCCCCACACATGGGAATGGTACCTGGGAAGGGCAGGGGTGGGAATCAGAGCTGTTCCCATGCCTGGAGCTGATTAGGCTGGGGGGACAGGGGTGTCCCTACATGTGGGCTGGGTTCTGGGGAAGCCCAGGCTGTCTGCCAGGCTGAGGGAGCTGCTGCCCCTCTGCAGGGCCAGGACCTGGTGATGATCCTGAAGAAGGACACCATGAGCCTGGTGGACCCCCTTGATCGCAGCCTCATCCACCGCCAGCCCATCCTCAACATCCGCGTCTGGGGCGTTGGCTGCAACAACGGCAGGTGCTGGGGCCAGGGCAGAGCTGGGGGCTGGGGGTGGCTCTGCCTGCTTGGGGGGAAGGCACCCCAGCAGTGACCTGTCCCCTCTCCTCCCTCCCCGACTGCCGCCGTGGCTGCAGGGACAGGTAAGGGGGCACAGGGCTGGGGGGCAGTGCAGGGAAGGGGCTCTGTCAGGGTCTCACTGGCTTGCTCATGGCCGTGCAGAGACTTCGCCTTCGTGGCCAGTGACAAGGACACCTGCGTCCTCAAGTGTCACGTCTTCCACTGCAACGTGCCCGCCAAGGGCATCGCCAAGGCCCTGCATGAGATGTGCTCCAAGGTGGGATTTTAAAGGGGCCCCGTTGGGTGTGAGCACAGCCCGGGGGTCTCGGGGGTGAGGGGAGGCACCAGGACCCCCGTCTGTTGCAGATCGTGGCCGAGCGAGCCGTGGCCAGCAGCCGCCTGCCTCGCGCTGCCACGCTGGAGCCCATCTCCACCGAGGACCTGCCGCTGCAAGGTACCGTCCCCCGGTGCTCCCCCTGCCCACAGCCCACCCTCGGGCAGTGGGGGTGTCCAGCAGCCAGATCTTGGGGTCCTTGGGGATGTGGGGGACACAGCGGGGGACACAGAGGTACCCCCACCTCTTCCGTACTGGCAGTGGATATCCTGGAGGCGGTGAGGCAGTCGATGCAGACCTACGAGGCGCTGTACATCGGCAGCCTGCCCGTGCCCAGGGCCATGGGTAAGCGCCGCTGCCCCCACCCCCGCAGCTGGGGGACGCCCAGCAAGCCCCTCCTTGCTTCGTGGGACGGCCGCGTCCCGGGGCCGGTGGGATGGGGTGGGACGGGGTGTCCCGTTCCGCAGGGATGGACGTGTTGAACGAGGCCATCGAGAAGCTGACGAGGAGCCCCGGGCGGGAGAGCTGGACGCCCTCCCTCATCTACGTGTCGGACACGGCCATGAGGGTTCAGCCGGCGCAGGTTGGGGGGCACGGGGGGCTCCGGCCGGGGTGCCCCCGGCAGGGCGGGCCCGGGGGGCGGCCAGGGCTGGACGGGCCCGCGGGGTGCCCGCAGGAGCCCGAGGAGGCGGCGAACATCTGGGAGTGCCAGGTGCGGTACGTGACCTTCCTGGGGGTGGGCCGGGACGCGCACACCTTCGCGCTCATCGTGGACACGGGGCGACGCTTCCAGTGCGCGGCCTTCTGGTGCGAGCCCGACGCCGGCACCATCTCGGAGGCGGTGCAGGCCGCCTGCATGGTGAGCCCCGGGCGGCGGGCGGGGGTGGCCCCGGGGCCGCGCCCCCCGCGCTGCCCGCCCTGTCCCCCCGCAGGTGCAGTACCAGAAGTGCCTCGTGGCCGCCGCGCCGGGGGCGAAGGCGAAGAGCACGGCAGGCCGGGGCCGGGCCGGGTCGGCGGCCGCGGGGGACGGAGCCCGCGGAGCGGCCAAGGCGGGGGGGGGCGCGGCGGGTGCGGACCTGGGGATGCCCCCCCGGGGGGGGGGGGGGCCCGGCGGGTGAGCGGCGTCCGGCGGGAGCCCCCGGCCTGCGCCTGCAGCCCGTACGAGAACTGGGGGGGGTCGTTCCAGCCGCGCTCCTGGTTCCCTGCGGCGGCGAAGGAGCGCGGTGAGATCGCGGAGAGGGGACACC